TTATGGCTTGTGAACTGAAGCAGAACTGTGCCAAATACCGATAAATACCATCAATGCGCCACGACGATTACGCAGCCCGTTCCACTCTATTAACTTTTATTCTCCTGGACAAAATCCATGTTTTTTATTACTGCTAGTTCGTGCGAAAAGCGTTTTCACTGCAGTCCAAAGCAATTCTCACACTTTCCGATGTTGATAACGCCGAAGACGGTCGAGAAGGAGGCCAATTGTGAGGTGAGAAACAGGAAGAACAAACGGGAGAGAGGAAGGAGTGATCAGAGAAGTAGCTGATGCCTCTTCTTTTGATGAAAAAAGGGGTAACTTTCTTTATTTTTTGTACTATACAAGACTGGAAAGCTTCATTGTGCTTTACTTTATTGATCGTTAGGAGTTTTTGCGCGTTTTTTTAAGTTCAAATGTAAATGTACATACGCCGGCTTTTCCGAATAAATCACCTTAACAAAACTGCAGTTGAGAGGATAATTTTCCAAAAAAAAAAGAATAGAAAAATGCCACGCCACTTTTAGAGCCAAAATTCAACTGCTTTATAAAGCAGCTGAATTGATTATCTGTCTGTCTTTTTTTCTGACTTTTGAATCAGACCAAATCAAAGATCCTGTTGCAAGACAGGAAGAAATAAAAGGCTGAATAAAAAATATGCAATTTTAAGCTCTCACAAAATGCAAAGGAGGCAAATTTAAGCAGACTGCATTTTGACGTTACTGCATTCTGACGTCTGACTTTTAAATTTGACGAGTAATTCCAAAACGGGAAGAAATTAAGCTTTGAATTCCTATAACTTATTTCACTAAATGTAATGAAATGAGAATGTAAGATTGTTCAGAAGTCCAAAAAAAGACTATGTGGCATATCCACCGAAAAGGCCAAAAATTTGTGGTAAAACGCGATTGTTTTTTGAACCCATTAGCGCATTCATCTACTGAGCCCTTAAAAAATTTACTACAGACACTAATGACTATATCGATTCCGTGAGTGCTACATCGTGTATTTAGACTTTCACGTAAAAGAATTCTAAAGATTTTTTTTTTAATTTTGTTAGAGTTGTTCCTGTCAAAATTTTGCCTTCTCGCTAGTCTGAGCAAGCTGCGAAGTAACTAGTGTTAGTGCAGGCACAAGTGGATACGACCATTTGCTAATAGCGATAAAAGAAAATGAAAAATTTCATTTTGGAAGTTGGCCAGTTTGCGCTCAATGAAGAACACTGTAGTGTGTGTACTAAAAATATTATATCCGGCAGCAGCTGTGACTGTGTCTTTTGAACCTAATTCTGAGAAGAGATCGCAGAAAGGGTGCGCCATTTGTTAGGATTTGAGTGGCTGCAATCAAGAAAACATACAAATATTAGTTATAATAATAGTTGTATAGCAACGGTACTAGTAAAATGGATAATAACAATAGCAAGTGAACTGAAGTGATCATTCGAGCGCCGGCTGATGAAAGTTTACTTCGACTCATTCGGACAATTTTAACAAAATTTTCCGTCTGTATTCACAAATTTGCTTCTCATATGTTCTGTCAACAGCACCCTCGTCACTCGTGAATTTTGCGATTCTCTAGCTTTTGCAGCTCTCAGCGCGATTTTTCCTTTTTTTTGGAAATCTTTTTCTTTTTCCTCACTCATTTTTTTCAGAAGTAGTGAGATGTTAGATAATACACTATTCTCAAAGTACATATCTCCGTTCAGTTAAAAATCACAGTGAAAATATTTTCCGTATTGTCAAACAAGTCTGTTACCAAGCCACTGTTTGCAAAGCAGTATTAGCTACTAGTACATCACTTTTACCAAAGCTGTTAGTACTTTCTTACGTATTTTTGCATACTTTGGAAATGCGAAATCGCACTTTAGCACGGAATTGCCTGTACATGTTTGTGTGTTCGCACTTTTTGTCACCTACTTTCAATACAAGAACCAAAAGATCTTGGAAGTCAAACTTTAGGAGTTTGTATCTGCCCATGTGTAGCCTTCCCATTTTTATGCGTTTTTGCGCTATAAGAGCGCTATAGCGCTGCTACGGCCAGCAAAAACGCATTTTGTCGAGAGGCTGTGTGTGTGTGTTCGAAAAGCGAGTGCATTTCGTCACCCACTTTCAACTCAGCAACCAGGAAAGCTGGGAGACTGAAACTTTGGATATATGTTCCTACCCCGTGTGTCATCCTCTCGTTTTAAGATCTTTCCCCATACGCGCCTAGACCCCGCATACGGTAACCCCAAAGAAATATGTTTCGGGAAACGATTTTGCGAACCAGGCAACGTAGAAAGCTGAAACTTTGCAGGGATATTCTCTATTCGCGTGCGAGCTAAAGATTTTAAACTCAGCTGTCGAGCCCCTCAACTACAGCCTCAAACAGCTCCTCAATCCAAAAATCGTTCGCAACTTCGACCTGAACCGCAATCGTATATGCGAATGAACATGGATTTTTTGACAAATGACCGCTCAAGCAATACTTTCAATTTTCCAGTGGGATGAAAATTTGCATATTTTCAAAAAATCCGTTCGCAGCTCGGGCATTAACCGCAAACGTATTTGTAAATGAACGAGCATTTTTTGATAAAGGGCCGCTCGAGCAATACCTCCACTTTTTAGTGAACTGGAATTTTGCATTTTTTCAAAAAATTTGCATTTGTCACTTTTTCACAAAGCAAACATTCACCGAAAAAGCGGCCGGACTTCATGCAAAAAACCGGCAAACATGCACCCGAACGCCTGTGCTCTATAATGCACCACTTTCATCCCAACTGACGCCCTTCCTCCTGCATGCCGGAAGGGGCTAAAGCACGGCCAGTATGAGCCCAGGTGTTAGACTAAGCGTAGAAATCATTCCTGCTAATAGCGATCTGCGAGTTTAGTGCAAAAACGCATGATCGCACTTGAGAGCCTGGCGCGTTCCAGCTTGGGTCTTCTACTGTTATTACTTTATTTGTCCCTCAGGTTAGTATTATTTAGTGAACAAATACTGGTATATTACGCTCTTACAACAAGCGGATGTAACAAAACATACGAAATCCCTGAAACTGGTTTCAACAGAACGTAAGGCAGCGGCAAAATTAATTATGTGCCTCGGTCTGCATTAGTGCAAAAACTCATGATCACACTGGAGAGCCTGGTGCTTTTCAGTCTGGGTTATAATATTATCATTCACGTGCGCCTGATCTCACGTACGGAACCCTCAAAGAATATGCAAATTTTTTGGCAAAAAACGATCTCGGGAACCAGGCGGGATAGAAAGCTGAAATTTCATTGGGTTTTTGAAAATTCCTTTTTCAGCGAAAATGCATTGTGATTAGACCAGATCATGTCAGGCTGTACGGTTGAAATTCCAGAGCTTTGTTATTTACCATCCAGGCAAGTATTATGAAGATGCAATTATATGGATGTAGCAGTGCAGAATTGAGTTCTGGTTCCCCTGTCCTATGACTTAAAGCACTTCACTCTGTTTGAAATCAGAATTCCACTAAACGACGCTCTCTCGTCTGGGTACCGAAACGACCTTGAGCTGTTTCAGCGCATTGGAATATCCATCATGCCGTGAGATTTATTTTCAGTATGTCATTTTTCTTACTTGATGATGACGCCAGTGAGGGCAATGATAATCGTGGAATTTCTCCTTCGATTTATTTTTTGAGATAACAATTCATTGTTTATTCGCCTAACAAAAAGGGATAGAAATTTTCTGCAATTCAAAATGCAATTTGATGAGATTATGTCGCTCTGTCTCTACAAAACATTTTCATCTGTCTGCTTCCTGAACAGCGTATGAACTACACGAACTACGGAACTGAAAATTTAAGAACATGGTGAAACTCACCAGGATGAACAAAAGGCGTATCAATACTTCGACCACTGATTGTTGACGGTTGCTTTTCACAAAAATACCGCTGGCCCAGAGCGTGAATATACTAAATCTGTTTGCCTGTCTCTTAACTGGCGTCTGGCACTACCACTGTGCATAGGTCGGCTAGTCCAAAGACCGCTTAATCATTAGTGCAGTATGGGGCACTTATGATTATGTGCTGTCTCTGCGGTTTTCAGCGAAGAGAGCCGAAAAAGTAAAATTAAATGGGCATACGGTCTTACCCGGCGGGCTTCCCTTTTTCTGGTTTTTACGACGACACCTAGCACACCATTTGTACGTACTGGCATTACTGTCTCACAACAGTTGATAGACAACCACTTTATACCAGCATTCAAATAATCCGACAACTTAAAAATTCCCCGGCGGGACGGTTTCTATTAATAAGCACTGGACATTTTGGGCTAAAAGTGTAATCGGTCTGCGAGAGACAGCTGACGACGGCTGCCTTCGAATTTCTTTTTAATCATTTTAATAAACAGAGAACAATGCTCAAAGGAAATCTCAAATAATAAGCACCAGTAGGGAACGTCAGTCCTTGAATAAGAAGATATCGAAACGCGTGTTAAAACTTCCGAAAGTCTATATAATGTCAGTAAGATAATAATGGCCCCAGCAGAACATTTGACAGTTATAAAATTGTGGAGATGACTGGAAAGACGTAACTCTAAACAGTCATTCTGATGATTAGCTAAAACTACATCGCTGCGAGACGTAGTGACTAAGCAACCTACTGAATTGATAATGAAGACAGGAATCACCGGGGGCTGTAACTCGTGGAAAAAGAAACATTGCTTGACGTGTACAATAGACCAGGGGAAGGATGGACAATTGATCAAAGGTGAATCAAATTATGGATCGATACAGGTCAGGTTTAGATCAAAGGTAGATCGAAAGTAGATCAGCTCGATTTTTTGTCACGCTGCTTTTTCCCTACACCTATCGCATATCCTTATATTTCTGACGCGTATACACGTGCTCTCGTTTAACATGGCACACTCACAGTACCGATTATATAATTTTTCCAGTCACGAAAGCAGCACCGGCACAATTGTTCGATTTTACTGCGCGGCGGCTAGCTATCCCGAAATCCCGGAACAGGAACTGTGGCGTGTACATATGTGATTATGTCATTTGGCACGAATGCCCTTATCTGTTTTATGGCACTATTTCAGTCTGCTGAACAGCTTGTTAACCCAGGTAATGAAATTATTTTTAAATTTTTCAGGAAAAGATTATGTGTGGCGAAAAAGCACACTTGATTATAAAGGCATTTTGCCGCCATAGTCCAGCCGATTTTTCTGATTTGTTGTTTCAGGTTGTGATTTTGTATGATTTATCAAAACCATGTTGTGCGGATTCTTAACTATTTTCTAAGTAATACTGGAAAATCAACAGCATCTAATCTCATTAAGCTTTAAAATGCAAGTAATAGATACAGTCCGAGCAACGTATAGTTGATCACTGTACAGTATTTTGTAACATTTCCCGTGCTAAATGCACAAAGCCTGTTTTAGAAAACAGCTTTTACATTTACTTACCATGAGCTGCTGGCATTTCGAAAATACTTTTTGCACAAATATTCACTCTTCCAGTCAAAAATTTTCTTTTAAATTTATCCTTCCCTTTTATTTTTTGGTGTTTCTTGTTTTTAATGAATCTCTTTTTCTCTCAATTATTTAAAATTTTTTGTACTTTACAAATTATCTGTTGAGAAAATTCCATCTTAATTGTGTTCTTGGTTTGTTATATTACTGTTCTGGACAGTAATACTTTCTTCCTTAATTGCCAAGGCAATGATAAGTGAATCGATAATTAGAACAAAAATTATGAATTAAACAGATCATGAAAATATTTGACCTAGAAAAAGCCAATGGTACTTTGGCGTTAAAGCTTTAAACCACGTGTAGTCTCGAATCTATCACATAACTGTGTGCATTTGGTGATACAGATAAACTTTTTTAAAACAGACACAGGGCAGTCTCACTTTTTTGAAACAGAATTAAATCAGTCTAATATACCGATTGATTTTAGTGCAAAAATTTTCGTTCTGCGCATTTAAGTAAGAAGAAATAATCTGGAAATACCCCGTGATTTAAAATGTTGAGTCCTGTCATACACGAGCAGAAGATTAAAGGGAAATAAGGGTTCAGTTTGACAATGGTCTCACCGGATTATCTTTTTCACTTATCGAAAACACATAATTTTTGACAAATTCGCTGATTTGTTTCCCATGTTCACGCACTTGCAACCTCAAAAATCTTCATTTTTCTAATCGAATCCATTATTGCCTGACTTATTTTTCGAACATTCTTTTGAGAATTCTCTTTTGAAACGATGCGTTTTTGCAAACTGGCTTTATGATTTTCCTTTTTAAAAGAACATTTTTACTGCGATGTCTTTTCTGGATTGTCATAAAAATCCTTTTGGAGTCCTTAAATGATTTAAGAGAATTTGATTTTTTTTAAAAGAAAGCAATTCGGGAAAAGACTGAAATAAAAATGACAAATCTAAATAAGAATGTTTCAGTGCATCATTTCGTATCTAGATATCTAGAAGTTTTGAAAAATTTGATTAATAACAAATAATGTCAAACATTTGGAAAAGAATATAGTATTGCAGAATCACAATTGCCACAACCGCCTCGAGCATCCGTTTATTCCGGAAATAGTGGTATGCGCCGTATGTATCGGACCTACCGGATACCGCAACGTATTGCAAGTCCCAGCGAACCTCAGGATGCACTGAAACATCATTTCACTACTACATTTGGATCACCACTGCAAGTTTAAAAATTTGTTTTCAGAGCAGCAGGAAAATTTATGTGCGCTCATGCTGCCCAGTTTGGTGTCACAAAAAATTTGGGATCAAACAGTGTTAAGCGTTAACCCCTTTAATGATTCATAATTAGTTCATTATTGCGAGCTAATCATCCAATTCCGGCTTGAAATTTCTAAATTGCTCTTGTCAATTTCTTGTTTTAGATGCAAAATTTCTCTCATTAGAGGAAAACTCTCAAACAACTTTTAAGCAATGCTAGGACTGAAGCTTCTTTTGAAAAGCAGATGATCTCTGAAAAATTTGGCAAAGACACACTGCAAAATGCGAAGGAGATACAATATACGAATTCTCGCCAGGATTAATGGTTCGTTCCGAATTTTGAGTTGTTAATTATCATTTAAGCCAGCTGTGCTATAAATCAGTTGCAGCATGCCACACGGAAGCGAGGAACTGGCAGTGTCGAAGTCACCAACATATCTGCGCAAATTTCAGAAACGGGATGATTTTGTGAAAAAACTTTTCAGTGCACGCACCGTTTTCGGAACTCCAAATGAAGTGGTCTTTTCATTCATTTTATTCTTAGTCTGTTTTACTTTGATAGATCTCAACAACGAATAGTGGCTGACAATTTTCTTTTTGTCCTGACCGATGTTGCGTCGCCCCACGGTCTGTCTCCTAGTGATCTTAACACTCGCTTCGGTGAGACACAATATATATATATGCCCATTTCGGTAAAAAAAAAAAAACATGGTTCCTGCTTGAAACGCACATAGAGGGGCGGATGACTGATCTTTGAATCCTCACGCATTTCTTCTTTTTGGGCATTTCTCA